GTGCATCGGTCTTAAGATGGCGGCAAGGGAGGAGGGTTCGCGAGATAGGACTGCGCCGATACCCTTTCGTCGAGAGAAGAAACGGCGGTAGGAGGTCCTTGGGTAATCATATAAGGATAGCTGGAGTCGCGCGAGGAAGATCGGGTATCAACTTTTGATCCTCCGATATCTCCGGCAGCCTGGCGGGCCCCTTCCAACCAAGGAGGAGTGTGTCTGTATTCAAACGGCTCTAACTCGATATAAGCGGTGCTCCCAGAGGCATCCTTCCGCTGAAGAGGACGGAGAGGATGAGTTGGAGGACACCAGACCCTCCCTACCTTGTCGCTCACGCCCACCCCCTCGGATCTTCGGAAATAAGAGTATCCCGTATAGCCGGTGCCTCCAATCGAATTTACATCCCGACTGCTTTACTCCCATTCCCGAAGACGCGGGGGTGGATCCTCGACTTCACCAAAGTGCTATCTGCTATGATCCCGCATAGATGCAGGCGTATAGCGACCACGAAAATGGCACTGTGGTCCACTACGGCATTTTCAGGCATATGCGATGAAATATCGTATGGAGACGGATATCTTTTGATAAACAGTTTTTCAGACAATAACTGATATATATGTTAGTATAAAAATATAAAAATTTACTATAGAGTTTTGGAGAATCTATTTTATATACAATAAAAACAAATAAATTATAGATAACAATTAGTTAAAATTAATTGTTTATGTTGAAATTATGAGACAGTAAAATTTATTTCTAAATTACTTCGTAACTGTTGCAAATAAAATAAATTAATAAATTGATTGTTAAATCTTGAGTTGTTGGATTATATTGAATCCTATTTAAACAGTTACTAAATTTTTAGATATATAATAATACCCTAATGTTATCAGTATTAACAATATTAATATTGATTTTCATTTCAGAATAACATTTATAATTGACCTCTTTTTTCTTAAACTTGTCGATAATAACTTTTAAATTGAGATATTTGCAAAATAAAAATTTTAATTTTATTAAGATTTTTTATTTTACATTAATAAGTCATTAACTGTAAATTAATTTATATTTGTTAGTTTAATTATTTTTATTTATAATTTAACGTAATTTATAATAGCGAAGATATCTATCTTATTGTAGATGGTAAGAGAACAGACTGCATTAACAGCAGACGGATAAAATGGTTTCTATATGTATCTTCAACTAAATGTATTTTAGTAGGTAATTATCGTCGACTAATAAAATGGAAACATGTATTACAATTATTTTTATTATTTACAAAAAGATTTACATAAACAATTGTCTTATCAGAGAGCATAAAATTAAAATTTGATAGATATCTCCGATTGTTTTTGATCCGATTTTATCTCCGATTGATTTGTGAGTTTTGCATTAGAAAGTGCAAGTTAATTTTATATTTAAATATAAATCTTATAAAATAACTTATTATTGAAAAATATAGAAACATTATGTATTTATAGAGATAAATATATATTTCTGGAGCAATTAAATTATTTAAATATTTAAAATAGAATTTAAATACTTAAAACAGAATTAAATATGTAGCATTCTAATCTACATAATTTTATTAAGAAATTTACGCTCTCCATAGTCATTTTTATTTTGTAAGACTAGATTTGACTACTAATAAGATTTTTCTAATTTTTTCATTTTTTGAACTTCATGTTCTGACTATTATATAATGACTATTAAATTGTTAATATGTATACTTCCTTACAAAATATTTATTTTATTGCTAATAATATAAAGGTTGCAGATACAATATTACCTTTTAATTTTCATCCTTGCCATAATGTATAATTGTTACTATATATTCTCATTGTGGTCTCGTCGACTCGGTTAGTGGTGTCTTGAGACGCCACACTCATAAAAATTTGTCTATACAAAACTTAAATAAATTTATTTATAATTTTTGTATAAATCATTCTAAAAAATTAATACACAATATAAATTATAGACAATTTAAAATATATTATATTATATTCTCTGTTTGTAATTCATAGAAAAGCTTCTCATGAAAAAAATCTTTATTAATTTCTTTCTTAGTTCTAAAAAATCTTTAATAATTAAAAAAATATAAGAGATTTTTTTAAATAAAACAAAGTATTAAATTACAAAGATTAAATATGCTATAATATTTCTAAGCACACTGGTAATTGTTTGGTTTAATGATTTACCGTTCTCTACCTTATTCTCGATTCATAAACATACCTTTATTGCAAGATATAAGGAAGGTAAAGGGCCATTAAAAATGAATACGATTAAAACGAGAGTCAAGTATATTGTATCATACTTTAATGTAGTTTCTTACTCAAGAGTACGCCGCAAGAGTACGGCTCGCGAGGATCTTCTGCTCGGAATTTCCCTCGCAATTTATATTACTATAAAATGGTTAGAAGCCAGAGATTTCGCATTACATATCTTCGCGACATTTCTCGCAGCTCTCGAATATATCTGGAAAGATTATTATATTTCAATCATATTAATTGCGCTGTTACTTTCGTCGATGAGAAGGAGCCAATCCGAGGCAACGAACGTGCATTCTAAAATTGGATTGGCTACAAATATATGCGGAAGAAAGCCAGAAATATAAAATATTAATAATTTTACAGGTTTTAACTATGTAATTATAATAATACTAATATGCTGATAATACTAATATTTAGTTACAATAATCGTAAAATATATTTAATATATTTAATACGATATTACTAAATATGCAAACGTAATAAAATTTTTATTCACGACATTCACCTGTGAAATTATGGAGAAATATTCAGATTTCTTAGAATGCTTTGATATATTAATCGTAAATACTAAACCTCAATTTCGCGGCTCTCTCCCACTTCTCGTCTACTTAATTAAAGATCGCTTTTGTTTCTATCTATAATAACGTTAATCGATAATATTTCAATCATACCAACTTTGCTACAGCGCATCTTCTTAATAAAGACATATAACCGTCATTTTGGTGAAAAAAGATACATTGATAAGTGTCATCTGATATTCATTATCATTGACCGATGTTATTAGTTCACGAACATATACTCATAGAGAATAGCATATGTCACTTAACAAGTATAATCAAGATCATTCAATTTAAATTTTTTAAGCATGATAAAAATCATTCTGATTACGTCATTACAATTAAATATAATTTCTGATTATTTTTTTTATAACTAATGAGAATTGTGATATTTTATATAATTTTCCTCGTATATTTTTGATGTATAATTATTTAATCTTAAATGATATTTAAAAATTGCGACTTGTTTTTAAAGCATTTTTCAAATAAAAAAATTAATCATCGGAAACACTTACCTATTTGATAACAATTTCGCCACTAATATTTGTGTGTGTGTGTGTGTGTGTGTGTATGTAAAAAGACATTTTTATCGTTTCCATAAAGATTCTTTGCACGATTTTATGGTAAATCATTTGTGATGACCGACGATTATTTCGAGATCAAGAAGAGCGCAAATCTATTCAACAAGTTAGAAGAAATTTTATGTCAGGACTAACTATAGGTCATAATTGTCTATTATATCTAATATCAATAAAATAACTTGTTGTAAAAAGTAACGATATTGCAATATAAAAGTTTAAAAACTGTGAACAATTTAAAAATTATAAAAAATTACAAAATTATAAAATTGTACAGAAAACGAAAATGTCGTATCATCTGACGACAAATTTTCTACATTTGCTTTTACACGAAAAATACGAGAATTCGTATATTCATAATTCTGGATAAGAAAAGGTTACATTTATATCTCTCGCCTAGAATTTATAATACTTGCAGTCTCTCTGAAAATATCACTTTCAAGTTTAAATAATGAAGATAAATTAAAAGAGAATAATACATAAGGAATAATTAAATTCAATTGCAATTGCTAATGGAACATTCGAATGTTGGATTTGAAATATTAAATAGTTTTAATAAATTAATTGTAATAAAAGTTATAATTTTAATTGCTTCGTCATCAATTATTAAACGTATCCTGGATGAGATTCTGTATATATCCCTTTTATTTATGGATATCTTAAAATTTTATGTATTTACTTTTTGATAACTCTGGAAATTATAGGATGCTCAATTATAATATTCTATAATTGTACAATTTAAATTATAGAAGAAATTATAGAACTTAAATTAATTATAATGTTGATTTAAAAGAACGTTGTTATGTTCTAACAAAAGGCAATGAAAATTTTAATTCACAGAGAAAAAGTTTCGCGAGCAGAATACACCAGATTCCTATAGATTAAATCTAAAGTTTAATATTTTGTTCCAGCTCGGTATAAAATTTTATTGGAGCGCCCGAATGTATAACGCAACGTATTAATTAACATACACGCGAAAGTTTCCTTAACAATTCGATTATTTATCTGGCAAGCTTAGCAATAAATTATTTGGCACTTGACCCTCTTTGAAATCCCGGTTAGTATATCGCTAAATTTTTTTTTAATCCTTCATATAAGTACGATGCTTTCTTCTGTTCATACCTTAATCTAAAATCACCTAGTTCGAAGTGCGCAATGTAATTCAGGCCTAATTTCGTTTATCGTTACATCGCTTATAATTATACGTTGCGAGAGGTCTCCTCAACCTTTTTATTAATTATTTCACAGAAAACTCATTTATATATATATATATATAACAAATAGAAAATTCGTCTAGACTTTGCTTTGTAATGAGCACTCGTTTCAGCGCCGTGCACGTTTCGATTGAGAAAACCTATTCGCCAATATTATTACTTGCGTCTCCTCAACTCAACGTAGAGTTCTCAATAGGAGGGGGTTCATTTTAGAAAACTTAATCGAACACATATTCAACTGCGTGACATACATGTAAAGTCTATATATAACGTCGTGCGAAATTATTTCCATTATCTTTTTATTCAGCTGCGCGCATTTACTGTTTAACAATTGCATTTCGCTAGACTTAAGTAAATATTAATAATAAAACATGTAGTAAATATAATATGTATGTATCTATATACACACACAAGACATATGTATGTATATAGATTTCATATACACCGCGCTTATCGGCAATCCGATTAGATAATACCGATACATTTATCCGATGATGGATGACCGAACGGGGTACGAATGCGGTGCGCAGGCTAATTATTAATTAGGATATCCTATTGTAAATTTTTTGGCGCTGGTTTGACATAATTTAAATTCGTCCGATTTTTGAGCCATACTTTATCATCGTTTCTGAACGCAATTTTTGACAATACAAACGTGCGAGTCGTTGCGCCACTACTATAATACAGAACAAATAATTTACAAAAACTTACTTCGCGTTAATGATATCATAAATTTATCGATATTCATACTGTATTATCATGAGACAAATGTGTTCGGATAATATCTAGATAATAATTCATATATTATGTGTGAAGCCTGACGCATTTATCCGATAAAACGGTTGAGCAAATAATCTTATAAGAGTTAGATAAATTACTTGGCAAGAGAAAATACATATAATATTTGCATAAACTCAGTGGAGACTCGCGGAATGCAAAACAACGACTCAATTTTCCTGTTATCCGGTATTCGATCTCTATTGTATTATCGTTGCCGCGCTGATTTCAGTCTCGCTAATTTTTGCTTTTAACGCGAATGTTGCAATTATCAGAAGATATTGACAAGTCGACGTCATCATCTTCTTCTGGAACGTATGGCAGAGCGGGCTAACAAGGGACCGATTTTTTCGAAATCTTCGTCTACCGGTCGTTTGCTACTGTATGGAACACACAGTCAGATGATGCGATAGAGCGTGGTCCAATAGAATAGGAGTGCCTGCAGCCAGTTCTGTACCGGCGTCAGCGCAATCGTCATCGCAATCAAAGTAGTTGCTCTGCAAGAAAAACAGTGAGTATCATTAAATTGCAATAGTGCGATAGTGAAGTATTTGAATTTAATTCAAGTAATCAATCGAGTCTAAACATCAGTGTTATTAATAATGTATTATTAATAAATTAATATATTTCCTCTTTTATTATAAAATTATTTATTTCTTTACACATAAACATATAAAATAGTAAAATATATACTTCACGAGAAATATTTGTATTATTAATATTTTAGCCTATATATATTAGTTTGAGAGAGAGAAAAGATTAATTAATGATTCTCTTAGCTTTTAGAGTAAAGATTTATTTATACATATATTGTAAAGACAAAAATTTTATAACTGATAAAATTTATAGCTTTTACATTAACAGTCTTACAATCTGACGGAATTGAATCAGAATTTTCCGACCGTAGCTAACGAACCTAAAAGTGCAAGCCAAAATGGAGCAGTAAAAAAAGTTCGTTCCACGACGAGTAATCCGTAACAGAATTGTCCAATTAGTACACAAACTAGCCAATATCAACTTCATTTGTGTGAATACAGTTGACGTCATTTTGTTTGCGGCAACTACATACGCGATGTAATTGTCTTACAAGGAAAAAGAATAGACTGTGAATATTAATTAAATCCAATTTCTTGATCGATTAATATTTCCAATAAAATTCTAAATTATCAATTTGCAATATGGCTGACATGTAGTGCTTAAGCAAATGCGGCAAACTGTACGATATCTATGTAAAAAAATCCTTTAAAAGTGAAATAATTTTCGTCAGAAATTTTGCCTTGTAATATTTTGTAATAAATATAAAAGTTATGAGATTGTATTGATAGATTTTCGTATTTTCGTTTATTCAAATAATCTTTAGTTGAATCAGAGCTTTTAAGACACAAATTGCAAATAACAAATTTATTAATAAATTTTATTTAAAGTAATGATTTTTTGAATAATCAATATATCAAATTTGATATACCGTATATTATAATGCGGTTACATCATAAAAGATTATAAAAAATTATAGTAGTAATGTATAATGTTGTCATGTTGAGCATAACTTGAAAGTTAATAATATATGAGATGATACCTGGCAATCGATGCACCGGCAGCTATCGGTCAATGAGCAAGTGAGGCCAAGGATCTCGACAGCTTCCTTGTAAAGTTCGGCGCTCGACTTCCGCCGTCTTGGCGGTGACGTGGGTGCACTGACTGTGCCAGTGCCCGATGGTCTCCTGCTACTCTTCAACCTCGACGAGGACTCTCGAGACAAGGAGGAGGTCGACGTTGATCCCCTCGCCCGATTGTCGCTCGTGAGTAACGCTCGACCTGCCGGAGATGCGAACAGCTGCAGCATGTCCATGTCCTACGGTTATATATTTACTAATTAGACGTTACACTTGCGGCATTATATTGCGCATAATATGTCCAATATATCAATCTCATGACATACAACATTAATAATACAACATTAATAATAAATTATAATAAAATTACGTTTTCTATTATACAAATTTACGTATATAAGAAAGACGTTGTGCATATCAAAGTTATATCATATATCAGTTTTTTAAATCAATTTTATTAACTTCAGATAATTTCAATAATAATTTAAAATCTCAATCAGATCTCTTAATAAATGCGTTTAAAGTGTTGTGCGTTTAATTGTTGTGAAAAGTATAATACAATATAATATTTTGAATTACATAAATTACAGTGTCCAGCGAAGCTTGTTAAAAATACTGCCTGTTATAGAATCAAAAAATACTATGTGTCTAACAAGATAACATTTTCAACGCGGATTTCCTTTCCTAGAATTCTATTCGTTTTGGAAGGACCTCATTCGCAACGCACCCTCAGGCGAAAGACTTTTCTAACAACACAACGTAGGCACTAGGAATATTATTATAATAAAAAACGTGCCGTATCTCAGAGATGGAAGAGATGTTATTAAAGTTGTTACGTTAAACGTTCAGTCTGTTTATATTAATATTATTTTTCATTTACTTTCTAAATAAAAATGTATAAGGCTAAAATCTCGTAATGATATCTTCTTAAAAGCAGAAGTTATTAAAATTACGTTATTAGAAGAGATTGTATGATTTTTTATTTTATATTTTAATAGTGTTCTTCTCGAACGATGCATCTTTGCAAATATGTAAAGCAGAAATTTTACTTCATTTCTTCATCACGTTTGTTGGTCTTTTAAAAAATCATATTATACATATTTTAATAGTGTTCTTCTCGAACGATGCATCTTTGCAAATATGTAAAGCAGAAATTTTACTGTATTTCTTCATCACGTTTGTTGGTTTTTTTTTTGAAGTTCGAGATATATTTTGAAATTTTAATATAAACGTATTATTAAAATGGTACGACTGTGTGCCGAATATTCGCTCGCATCTTTTATTTCAAACTCTTTTCTTAACGATCAAACTTTTATATTTAAAGAAAAAATGTAGTCGTACACAATCTGTCCTCATTCCTTGTAGTTAGAAATAAATTGCAGGCATATCATGAATATGGTATTACGTGCGGTTTTCCAAAGAAAAACATTTCATGCGTAAAATAAAGAGATGATGTACTGAAAGCTCAAACGTAGACTCGAATGATGATGATATTTAGAGAGCGATTTTCTTAATTACAAGCGGATCATTAAAAATTGCTCGCTAAAACGAACGTATTCACGAAATAAACGTGCTTCTTTATTATAGGTGCCTGAATCGTTTCAACGGAAGAAAATAATTGGGAACACGAATAATTGAATTCAACTTGAAAAGTTGGAAAATTTCAAACGAAGATATCTCAATTCCCATCTTAGACGTGAACAATTTTCCACTTTTGCGAAACTTCGCAATTCTTGCGCAAGTACCGTTCCATCCGTGCGTCGGAAAAACCATAATTACGCCGACTTGCTTCTGCGCTTTTAGCCATTATCTAGCTATGTTCAATGCTTGCTTACTCGTATTTTCATTGGAAAGACTTTTCATCGAGTTTGCTGAAAATCTCATTCAAACTAGTTACGATCAGCGAAACCGAGGCTAACAGCGAGACGAAGCAGCGCGGTTTTAAAAGCATTTTCAATGCACAGATCGCCGCTCGCAAGTTGCTACACATTGTGAACTTTCACCGAAAATGTAAGATATACTTTTGGCGAATGCAACGAGTTTCGTCTACGAGCACGGTCGAAGCAGCTTAAGCTCTTCGCTTAATGTATCTCAACTTACGAAGGGTTTAAGGAGAGAAATGAAAGTCCCCGTAAAATCCAGCAGGATGCTACATAATGCAACTGGAATTCGTTAAATTATTTTATTTAATATCGCAGAAACTACTAAAGAAGCGAACATAATAAATTTTTGAAGTAATCTCATTGTCGATATGAGCTAATTTAATAATCTTACGGTCAAGTGTAAATTATTTAATTAAATGAACTAATCAACTCAATGTTAATTACAAAAGTTATAATATTGAAAGAATACGAAAAATCATGTTAACAGAATTTATATATATTGCTATATCTGTAATTTTATATTAAATATTATATGTATAGAAATTAAAATCACAGATTTTATAAAAAGTTAAATATATTAGAAATATGATTAAAATATATATCGCTCTCTCTCTCTCTCTATAAATTTTATAAATTTAATTTGATATTATAGACTCTAAGTTAGCATTCAATTTTGATTAATAATAATAACCCAAATTAAATTGCATTGTGCTGGTTCATAGCGAAACATACTCGAGAAAGTCACTCAAGCGATTCCTTTGTCAGTAGGTAACGCATCTTTGACCTTTCGTTGTGTAGAGTCCCAGAGAAATGCTATTAGCGCAACTTTAACGAGATATATTGCTATCAAGAAACTTCGATAGAGGCATACAATCATCATTTAGCGTTGTTTATCGCGTCTAGACGAAATCATAATTGAACATAATTTAATTTGAAATATTTGATATTGTATGTTAATATATCTCATGCAGCAAAGCAGAAAGGACATTTTATATCTGTTTGATAACGCACATTATTAAAATCACGTAATAATATAAAATAATAAATTCTTTTACAATATAATATATATAATATTATGCAAAATATTATTATATATTATCACATTTATAATCACAATTTTCATAGAAATATCATTGATTCGCGCAGTAAATATTTCAATATTTAATGTATTCGCGAAAACTTACCGATTGAAGAAAAGCTGAGATATTGTAACAATTTTTATAAGCAGATTTAAAAAGTTGCTACAAAATCATCCTTTTATGAGTGTTCAAAGTTCCTATCTTTTCCCATTTCCAATATTATTCAGTATGGAAGACAGATGAAAGCAATGTTCTTAATCCTTTCTCGCGACCAATCAATTCTGCGCAAGTTTCCGTGTTGAGCGATTATATCCCGGGAAACAAAAACTTTTTCTTTAGCCTTAGTCATTTTTCTTTTCTATGAGTAATGAGAGCACGATCTTTATCATATTCAAGGGCGATGTCTGAAGAGAACGTTATCTTCAGGATGGTTGACGAATGAAAGAGGTCGATGGAAAATAGTAAAGAGATCAAATGGTGAACGATAACAAGCATCAAGCTGATTCGATGTATCTGGTGTACAGGGGAAGACAGTATCCCAGGTCGATCCCTCGGGATGCGTATCCCTTCGGTCTTGATATTTTCTGCTGCGCGCGAACTTTTCTCGAATCCTTCAACGCTGATAGATAACCAGGTCGAAAGGGCGGACTTGGATAGAACGACTGACGAAGACTTTTTGCCGCGAGGAACAGGATTTTGCGGAGGGAGTTTATGCAATGGGGAAAGAAATAATTTTTACTTGAGGTTGAAAAATATACTGCAAGATATAGCTTCTTCTGCAAGATATATTATCCATTATATTTCTTCTCACAAAGATTGAGTGGAGAAATATCTCATTTGGACGCGCGCGCGCGCAAATCCGCAAATTACTTAGATAATTATATAAATTACAAAATAAGTAACACGTTGCATAGTAAAAAAAAATTTACATCTTATTTTAAAAAAGCTTTGATTTCTTCTGTTCCAATTTTCGAAAATGTTTAGAAATATCCCATTTGGACATCTACAATTAATGAAATAATTATACAAATTCAAAAATAGATAACATAATATTGCACAGTAAAAAAATACATCATTTTAAGATACTTTTAATCTTTCCTGCTCCAATTCTCTTGTCTCGTTATTTTTACATTACTTGTTGATTTTTATTGATGACAATGTATATTATTGATTTGCTGAAATACATATATATATATATACCATTAAAATAAAACCCATTTAACTTCTTGTATATTAAAATTGAGAATTTAACTATTCATGAAAATTGAATTTCGACATGCTTTAAATAATTAGCTTCGAATATTGATTAGAGATAAGCATAGTTTATCGATTAGCCGTTTGAAAATTAAGGGTAAATCAAGGGTTGCTACTAATAAGTAGATTATAAATGAGCAATCCGATTTATATACGCCGAGTAAGTTAATTGTTAACAAATCGTTTTAATTTCTTGCACTTATCAACTCATGAATCAGGAATTAATTCTAATCAAGAGAAGAAAGCTAAAAAAGATATAAAGTAAAGCAAAATCAATCTTTGTGGCTTAATCGGTCAAAATTAATTTTATAGCAATTATATAAAAATGTTAACTCATATTGTAACTGTTGTCGCTGCGTCATCATTCAGCAAATACATTTGCTTTAATAAAAAAATATTTCTAAATTTACAAAACAATTTAGCAGAAAAGAAAATTTTCCGTTTTTGTATCGATCAGCGTTACGCATTAAAGTCAAGATTGTGATAATGGAAGTGATAACACAATCTCATATTAACAAAAATAGCTTTATGTTTCCTCCCGTTCCCATTAATGTGTGCATCAATTTTCCAACTGTCGAATCGGTATCGTTATATCAACATTTTATATCGCATAAAACTATCATTCGTTAACGTTCGTACAATTTCTGAATTTATGAAACGTGTTTACTGCCGCATTTTATGATTTAATTCCCTCGTGTGCGAGTATTAAATATTTCCGGTGCAAATCTGCGTCATTAAACAGCAAATGTGTATCATCATATAAACATATACAACTCGCAGGCTTTCCCGGTTCTTCCTTTAGAATTATCGTTTATCACTCTGCCACAGAATATCAGCGATAATATTCAACTACATTTTGCTCATCCAGGAGGGTAGTTCGCCCATGTTGTTAATTCCCCTTGTAGCCCCCTTGTCAACAGGAACCATTGAGAGCAGCTGCTAATGAAGAGAACCCATCTAATTAAGTTAATTAATACCGACAGGAGCTCTATAGGAAACTTTCGATAAAGGGGTGAAAACAGGAGGAGAAGGTCACAAGCGCGTACACGAGAAGGATACGCGGGACGATTTGCGTAACAGGATAATTATGTCGGTTTCATCGTACCGATGGGCGGATAATAGGAGAACATTGTTCGCCAGGGATGTTTAGCCCAGGATTAATACCGACGAGGCGATATCATGCGCTTATGCGGTCAGATTAATAGAGTACGTCCATGGTAAAATCTACTTTTATTGAAACTGGGATTTTTATTAAGCCCCCTTAGACCGAGCACGAGTTTCGCCAGCGGCGATGGTAATCCCGCTTCTTTGTGTTCACGGAAGCGATAATTATCACGTACGAATGGGAAAGGTATTATCCGTGATGGTCTACTAAATCGTTAACAATAACTTAAGTAAAGGAATTCCAGTAAAAAATCTATTTGTGATTATAATAATTGATTGAAATATATTAACTGAAAAAACATTTTTTAAGTCTGACAATAAGTAATTTTTTTCTTCAATAAATGTTTACTTGGAACTATTAAAAAAAATTACATAGTTTATAAAATTTTTTTTCAGTGTCGTTATATTAGCTCTGATATAAATGTATACGATTTTTTTAGATCCAGTTTTTTACATCCAGTTATTGTTTAGTTTTACTGTATTCTCATTAGTTATAACAATATTACTTAAAAAATAGATAAAAGCTTTATAAGAGTTTTTATTTAGTGGTTTAAAACAGTTTTTATGTAGAAGCAATTTTCTAAAAATATATGCAACTTCCATATACACTTATCCAGTTATTGTTTAAATTAATAAATTATTATTAATTAAAATACTGCGTCCATTTATTATCTTATTTTTATTTAGTAAATAGATCCAGGTTTTGAGCATCTTTTGTGCGCAGTAACTGAAGACAAAGCGTTACATCTTGATTGAGATTCTAAGTAGTTATACCTCTCAATTACTAAAAATAGAATTAATATAACTGTTCAAAATACAACTGTTCAAAGAAACACATAAAATTTCTACTGGCGAGTTTTTACTGTTGAACGGAATGGCTATAAATTAAATTAAATAGATAAAATGAAATGGAATGGTTAACATATTATATATGTTTCAACTGAAAAAATAAAGTCTATAACATAATTGTAAATTTATATAAAGTATTCGATAAAGCATAATCTAATGGAAATAAATTTATAACAACGACTGAAATAGAGATAAATCTATTTTGATATATTTTCGTAAAACGCATAAAAACAACGCGTGCAACGGTGCGTAAAAAGAGTTTTAATTGACACAAGCGACATTCGCTTAATTAATGCGTTTTTCCACGCTTTGATAAGCGAACCGCTTCGATTTAGTGCGTATCGTACATCGTAAATTGCGAGGCGTTAGTTTTCCTCTCTTTTTTTTTGTCGTTGTCGCATACGCGATGTTCAAATAATTGCAGGAAATCGCTTGAGAGCGCTACATATTCGCGCCCCGCCGCGATTTCACACTAATGCAAATTGCTAAACGAAATTACTAAAGCTAGTGCGTGAGTTCAAACGAATACACTTTCATTGGAAACAAAATGCTTTTCGCATTAATTACCATATCATGAGGCACATTTAGTACTCTGCAACATCTGCAGGGCATTCCCAAATGTATTGTGATTTCATGATTGTTAAATCATATTATTACTGATAGATTATCTGAATAACAACATATCGGCGGTACCACTGCACCGATCAACTTTGTATTAATTTATACGTTCTCAAATGCGCGTTTGCATCGTTTGTAAACGCGATTACGATAGGCATCATTCCGGTTCTCTAATTATTATAATTGTTTTGCGAATGATACGTACAACGCGCTACAAAACGTCGCATAAATGTTTCAATTGTTAGAATTGGTATAGTAGAGGAAACAATACGCGCATGCAATAGAACAAGCACAAGGATTGTACAATGTTTCACTTTATTATATAAAACGACTCAGATATTTTAGAAGAAAGAGTAATATCTTTTCGAGAAAAACATAAGCAAGAGAAAATTATGTTAAAATATTCAACATTAATGATGCAATAATATTTCTGCCTGCATGACTATACGGTTTAAGAAATAAAATGATTTCGTGAAATTTCAAAACTGATCTTAACAAATATTGGGAGTAATTCTAAATAAAATAAGAAATGTCTGAGAACACAACTTCCCTTTGGCTTATAATATATCTTTTTTATTATATATTTAGCAAGAATCTTATACAAAAATTATTATAATAAACCATGTAATTTATATTAGGAACAGATATAATTTTATTTGTAGAATAATATGTATCTGATAAAATGATATCTTACTTATGCTGTATTAATTCATATGTTACAAATAATTGCAATGGCTTTTATGTTCGACAATGAATACTAATTTAACAATAACAGTAATAGTTAATTATACGTTTATTTATCGCAACAGTTCCTATTCCATATACATTATGGCGATTAACATTATCTACGAACAACTAAGTGCATGCAAACATTGTAAACCTATCTGATGGACGCTACACAGATTTATGTATGCTTGTATATGCAAACTATTATTTACAAAAGCATTATTTAGTAAAAATCATTTATTAGCAACTGCTTTGGAATAATAATGATAAAATTCATGGTTTATTTTACACATAAAAATTTTGATATTCGAAATTCATATGCTACTTTAAATTATAATTGGTACCTAAGTCGAGATATACTTTTTAAATTTAATGAAAATTTAGTTTAATAAATAGCAATTAAATACTATTGTCACTATTCGTAAAATCTAACGTGACTTCTGCAAATTACAGTTACACGATTGTTTGATGTAATTATATTACGTTACGAATATTGAATTAATCGGTTATTGTGATTGGGATCTATGTGTTATTATGCATCCAGCAACGCGTAGTTTGGTTATGCAATTATAACAATAATTGATGGGTTTAATCGAGAATCGCATATCCATTAGAACGTGGAATAATAGTATCGAATAATTGCTTATTTTGTGCATAGAAGATCGAATTTTCCCGAATTGCACGTATATTCAAATTATTGTATTCAGATAATCAGTTGTTATCGCAGTATATGTGATCTATTTTACAATTAGCTAAGATAATATTTTACAACGCATTTTGAATTATTCCTATATTTACGTTATCGCCGTTATTTAGTCCGTTTACCATTTTGACAGCAGAACTCTACATGATTATAACAATAATAGTTATACTAAATGATGCATTCTGTAGCAACGTTCGCGGTTAACGGTCTGATTACGTATTGTAATGCACGCGTTGATGGCTTGTATGCCGAATTAATTCTCTTCAAATATATGCGCGTAAGTTAAGCCGCAATAATCACTTCGTAATGAACTAAGAAAGTTATTAATTCACACATACAGCACATATTCGTGATAGCGTTACTAATGATTTCGTGATATCACTATTTATGTAAATTATATTCCAAGTATTTCAAGTATTTTAAGTATTCCAACTATTTTAAGTAGTTGGAATATTTATTTCCATCACTTTCATTATTCTGTTAATATTTGTAGAGAGATAGAAATAAGATGGTTACGGAATAGATGATAGGTTATAAAGTATCATGATATCTTATACAATTTTGGGTGCATTCTGGAGGCAATCGTCAAAATTACTTCTTCACAGTCTGCTGAGATGTCAACATTATAGCCACTTAAATTAAATAGATTAAAAGTGTTTACTATATTGTCGTAAAAACTGTATTTTAATTTCGAAAGAAGCAAATAGTTTAGATAAGCAAATAATTTATAGATGTAATTTTAAAACTTAATGTAATTTTGAGAAGTAAATAATATTAAACTTTTTCAGATTTTATATAGGTATAAGATTTCATCAGAATGAGAAATTTTAGAAATCTTAGAATATTTCAGAATTTCTGATATCTATATGAAAAATTATAAAAAAGAGATAAACTTTTTCAGTACTTATGAAAATATTCCAATTTGTATTAAAAAAGTGCAATTTTCTATCAACTTATGAAATTATTCATAAATTTTGAAAATTATAAAATTTACATAAAAATTCTAAATTTACATAAAAATTATATAAAAATTCTTAGAAAAATTTTCATTAAGGCAATTTTTTGTACGTTTTTATTTATTGTACAGTTTTTATTACGGTTGTTCTATACATTTGAAGAACTTCTATACTTAGTATAATTATTATTATTCTATAACTAACAAACTTGTATGAAAAATAATCACGTTATATAAATATCTTGTGAGTTATTTCAATAAAACAAAATATTCCACAACTCCTTCCCTTCCTTTTAGTTAAAAATATGTGGTCAGTGATAATGTAATGGAAAACAACCCCAGATCATGAGAGGATCGCAATAACAGCTGTACCTAAGTGGTCCATTACGTGCCGAATTATACTCACCGGCAAGGATTCAGGCGTGTGGTCCAGCACGTATATGCTGTTCGTGTATCCGTACAGCATCGTGTCCAGATCTGTAACCCAAGGAGAGCAAGCAGAACATTAAATTGGATCAAACCAGTCGCAAGCCATGCGGCACACTAATACGCTAGTAATACCCGCGCGTACTCACACTCGTGGCTGCGCAGTATTCTAATTTACGCTAGATGCACCGTAGCACAGAGGAAAGCAATTTCCTAACACGGCCACGGGATGAGAACACACTCTCAAATTCCCAACGTCCTCTCCTTACTATCCAGTGCGTTTCCTTCAGGACTTGGCGAGTCGCTCTAACATTATCTTATGACAACATTGCGTTTAACTTAGTTCATTGTTTACATACATAGAACTTTCTTGTTACTACATTACATTACGTTATGCTGTATTATATCAGCCTAGTGCACTTTGCAGTTCTGTTTGATTGTTTGAAAATAAGTATATATTTTTAATAAGATAAGTAAATAATTGGTATTATCATTAGATAGTAATACAGCAAATAATTAATATAAATTGGTCATTTTTTCAATATATATAATTTTACACAGATTTACACCTGTATAATTTTTTATACATAATTATATAAATATATTACACATAAATATTTCTGTATACGCCAATTATTATAATTAAATTATTAAACGATTGATAACTATGAAGTACGCTTTTAATAATGACAAACTGATATAATTGTTATATAAAATTATTTCTCACAGAAGAGTTTGCCCTAATATTATTTATCGAAGCCGCACGTTAATTGTAAATAACGCTGACACAATAATCATCGAAAGGTTAACGAGTTTTTCCGCATTGACGCTCGTAGCTTCAATGGAAAAAAATTATTATCGATGAATAAATAGAATAACGGTGAATAATAGAATAGTCATAAAAGTGAAATAGTCGTTGTAACACGTTTGTAAAAAATTTAATACCGAGATAGCGGTCAGTTGCACAATCAGAGAATCAATATTTCTGTCGATACAAAATTTAATGATTCAATCATGTAAATCAAAATACCACATAAACTCAGTCATAAATTTACATTGTTAATGATTACCTGTTTTGTGGTCACAGTAGACAAGGTAATATAAATGATAATATTAAAAGCATGTTATAGGTATATTTAATATTCAAACATTAATAAAAATACTTCTCTCATCTAATAATTAAATTAATTATAATTATTATGCAATTTACATGATGTAATTTAATTATTCTTATGCTACAGATGCACGTGATTAAGTCCGCAATTAATTAATTGTAAGAAAATCGTATAGATGTTTTCTGTCTGACTAGTGACGGTTTTCTCTTCTTCCACGTCTCTATGCTACTATTCGGATACATTTCTCGAAGAAATCGTTGCAAGATTCCATAAGCAATATTCTGAAAAGATTACTGAATGTTCAGACAGATGTATTCATGGTGCAATGTAACATACCCGACATATCCTATCGATTTATGAATCGGAAGCTTGATGCAAGCGAATATAAGTTCTCAAAAATTATTGCGTGATATTCTCCAAATGGATGAGAGGCACTTGAGACTTTGATAGCGATTTATTTATATAAAAGTTCTCTATCTTCAACCTCATCTATTATATAGATGAGCCGAAGCATTATTTTTCGCAATAAGTTTTATTACAGTTTTTAAGTTGGGGAATTTGGGGGGATTATTAATATTTTCAGATTTGATTGCGTTGAAAGTCCGACAACCATATCGGCACGCAATTATCATTTCTGAAATTAATTCATTTAAATGAATTTACAATAGTTCAACATCTTAACGTTCTGACCGTTATGGCGCTTCTTAATTTAAAATTATTATGTTTAACATTAGCGGTCTTTCAATCTTATTATTGCTCATCTATTATATTGTATTCGCGTATTGTCCAACGAATATACAGGAATCAATCGAATCCAGCAATGGTTAATTTCTGATGAAACGCGACGACTCGCTATTTCTATGCCTCTTCACTGAAAAATATGCGGTACGTCATGTTACTTCAACGATTTGGTGGGAATTTCAATTTACAAGGATGGCATTTCGTTATATTACCAAAAGGTATTCATACAAAACATAGAATCACTTTGAGGCCATTGGATGCTCCAAACTGACAGAATTTCTCGCAGCAATTTAAGCTGCTTTAGAAGAGCAAGCGTACACGTATAAAGTTAAGCTTGAAATATTTTCAAATGAAGGAAGATTATTTTGGATTTAATTTAGTACCATTTACTTAAAATAAAAAAGAAATTTAAATAAATATTACATGCAAAGATAGATTTATTACCTCATGCGCCGATTTGATTTGTTGGGCTCGAAATGCAATCATAAACTGAAGTTGGAAATAACATCTCAAATTATAATCGTTAATTTAATAATAATACTAATAAATACATTCTAAAAAATACTACGAAGAATACATATGAATATTATTATTCAGCACCAAAATACGCTTCGACCAAAAATAAAATGCTTTCTCTTATTTAATTTATTCTCATCAATATCTAATTTCCATTTATAACATGTAAAATATATAAAAGATGTTAAAAAATGTAAGACACATGTAAAATATGTAAAATTATATATAAAAATAAATACCATATAAAATTATGTACAAGTAGAATTTTATTCTCTAAAATTTATCGTAAATTACACATTTATTTGAGATTTAAGAGTTACTCGTACAAAATGTACATCAAATGTACATCAAATAAGTTTGTAGTCCGTTTTGCGTGATGTTTGCAGAAACATGAAAACACGCAAATTAAGATTCATGAATAAGCGTAATTGTGATTTGACACAGGAGATCGTTTCGAAATTCAGTTTCATCAGGATGTTGAATCGTGCAAACACAACGCATGATAACGTTATGCTGTGCGTGTTCGATGATAGAGAATTTGCGTAGAATGCTCGACGAGAGATAGATTTATTGTTTCTGATTCATCTAGACTCATCTCGCCAGAGTGATCGAAATTGCTTGACCAAAAACCAATCCCTCGTAAAAGCTGTGAAAGATTTTATTTCCATGATAACGCTGTGTGAATAGACAATATTGCCACAATCAACATTGGTGGGCCATTCATGTACAGAATCGTTAAATGTAAAAACTATTGTCATAGAAGAAAAGATGACAAAACAAAGATTCAATTTTTTATTTTAAAAAATTTGATTTACAAATATGCCAAGTCATGAAAATAGAAATTTCATGTATTTATCAGATTTATTTACTCAATATTTTTGAAATATTAAAAATGTTCGACTGCTATATGAATTAAACGAATGCTAATTTTCATGGCAGTAAAATTAACCCTAAAGCGCATTAATTTTTCAAACAAACAAAAATAATTGTGACCAAAATTTAAGAGAAAACATATATTAGAATGTTTATTTCTAGGATTGTAGGATAAAAACGATTAACACATTATCGACAAACAAAATTATCAAATTAAAAGGTTTTTTTAATTTAATACTCGTATAAAACGTTTATTCTATTGACAACTTATCAATATGTATAAAATCAACATATAAAAATATTATATAAAAATTATTTAAAATAAATTTACAATAAATTAACAATAGACATAACATAATTTAAGAATATTAACTTTGTGGTTTATAATATATCACGATGTATGGCTTGGCTGGAATGTACACAGACTACACAGACAGAGACACAGCGAAAGAGGCGGAAATACAAAGCTGCGGTGCATACAATGGCACTCCGAATTGCGTCCATAAACCGCATCGCCATTGCATACCACAAATATCGAAATTGTTTCACGCCACTGATATATGTGTTCCTCCACCTCCCATATTCTTCGCGCATCGTGAACTGTAATCGACAATAACCTCTATGGCACCGGTTATGGCCGATTTTCCTTATACCCTGTTAGCCAATATATTTACGTGATAGTTATATTAAAATCTTCCGATGTAAATTACTACACTTAACTTGTTATAATACAAGTTAAATGCAGTAATTTACTATTTTGCTAAAGTATTTAAAAATTTAGCTAGAAAATAATTTTGAACCATCAAAATAATTACATAGAAATCTTGAACACGATGAGCAAATGCTCGAAAAATATTTTCATATTCTAATAATTAATTCAAGTTTCTAATAAAATTATTTTAATGAGCCTAACAAAATTATTTTCAGATCTGAATCCGGTTAAATTTTAATACTTCAATAAAATCGTGTACGTTTTTGTCGTTGCTATCTTTGAACATCAAGAATTTATCAATTATTTTCCAAAAGAATAAAGCTACTCTCTCTCTCTCTCTCTCTACTTCGAAAATTGACTATTTGTCTTAAAAAAGAATACTGTGAGCGATTGTAGTATATAACTACGTCCATTCGATGCAGCAGTATACCATGAATACGTCACGAGAAACGTGTGTGCAACATCGAGCCAATCTTGACAAATCTCCTTGTGTTACATGATAGACGACAGATACGACGCGGCCAAAGCTAATGTCTGTTGCGTCACGCGCGGCGTACCATACATCCTCGTTCTTTTGCACGAGACGAATATGTCCTATATTTAAAATTTGGCTTTGACTAATTTTTAAAACAGAATTGCGCTAACGGGGAAAATATTGTGAACTACAACAAAACAATCGTTCAATTGCTATAATAGAATTTGACCGTAAAAATAGAACGGGCCATTCGTATTTGCGACAGAAATCGAGAATTGAACTATCGAGTTATTTAGAAAATTCTCTCCATGCGAGAGATTATTGAATCCATAGATTCCTATTGTCACCTCTCGATTTTTTTCAAAATAAAGAGAAAGAGAAAGAAAAAAGAGAGAGAAAGAGAGAAAGAGAAAAGGGGTGAGTGAGTGAGTGAGTGAGTGAGTGAGTGAGTGAGTGAGAGTAAGAGTGAGAGAGAGGAGAGTCAAACAATGCAGATTGAGAATTTGAGAAGATAATATATTGCAAATATATACTTATATTTGTAAAGTAAAAAAGATAAAAAAAATAAAACATCTATATTAAAATAGGAAAAGAAAACTTTTATTTTACTTCTCCGTAA